CCCTACAAATTGACAACTGGTAGACAGTTTTCAAGACGGCGCTTTCTTCATAGTAAACAGATGTACCCATAAACCAATTTTGACAGGAAACAGAAGCATGGCTTAGAAGCTAATTTTTTTTAAATCACTTTTGACCAAAAAAGCACATTTTTTTGCATATTTCAAACTACAGCGTCCATAAAAATAAAATACTAACAAAACTTTAAAATTCATACAATAAGCTTTCCGAAAATATATAGTTTTGTGGACAAGGGAGGTCATCTTGGTTTCCTAATCAACTAATTGAAATACCTGTCAGGTAAACTGTATCTCTACCTTAAGTTCCACTGTAACAGTTGCCTTGCAGTGTTTGTTTGAATTTTAGATGTACTGTATACCTGTAACGTGCTATGATGCTTAGTCGTGAGTTGCTTGTTATGCCAAATAAAAAAATATTTGTAGTTTCAATAACCCCTAACCTTGCGTAAAATGTTTTGCCTATTGTACCTAAAATTCATTGTCTACCCTAAAACATTTTTTTGGCCAAACATGAAAAAAATGGTGCAAAATCACACAAGACTTGACTGAAAATGAATTTATTATTCAGAATTTCGGCATGATTGAAAAGATTGTAAACATCATTAAACATGAGTTTTGGTAGGTAAGTGCAAAGTAAATGATGTCCAATGAAGGAAAAAAATTAAAAACCTACCCTACCTGTTTTTGAAGTGGTTATGAAAACCACAGAATTGTTGGCCTTACAATAAAGTAATCTTAGTACCATTAAACCTGCCTAAACTAATCACCCAAAGGGTCAAGATTTGTATAGTTAGGGTAATTTACATGAACAAATCAATGAAACAGGAGTTATTATTGTATGTTGTATAGTTAGGGTAATTTACATGAACAAACCAATGAAACAGGAGTTATTATTGTATTGCTTGCTACTTGATTAGTATTGTTTTATTTCACTCTACAGATTCACACCATGCATCAGGTTGGCTACTTCAGTAGAGATTCCCTAGTCGCAAAATAAGCTACGAACATTTTGTTCGAAATGGCAACTAGCACCGTAGGACATTTCTAATAATGGGTGTATTTGGGTGTAAAACAGTAAATTTAACACACTTGGGCCATTTGTCTGAGATGATTGAACAAATTTAACACCAGCAAATTGCTGATGTCAAGTGAGCATTGAATACATTATCAGCTCTGTGCTACTATAATAATTTGAAGTAAAAAGGCAGACATATGTACTGATTAATTTATTATATTTTATTTTTTAAATAAGTACAATATCTTTGATTTGAAATGTTTGCACCATAACGCATACATTCAGGTGTGGGTCAACCATCAATTGTTCATTCAAGAATATATATTTGTTAGGAGTCAGCAAGATCTGTAATGACATACTGCATACGTGTACCAAATGTTGTGGGTAAAATACAATTTCCACCACATATTTTTTTTGCTTTTTACTGATACTTAATATTTTAGAGTAAACCCCCATGTCAACAGAACTTGACGCATGGAGCCAGGAACATCCACTGCAGTATGATAGAAAGCGTTTACAGTCTTCTAATAACCACATTGATGGTGCTGTACGTTGTGTTTGTATTCAAAGCCCACACATAAGCGACGCTACAAGATATATACAACAGCTAACAAGCCACACCAACCCAGCAACTGCCGAGTATTTGTACACACTCCCACCATGTCATACACTGTAATATGCGATTACAATCCTGGTTTTACCCATAACTCTGGGTATTCTGTGCAGTGTCCCTCTCACTTCACTTTTGATTCGTGAATGCTGCCCTCAATTGTGTCTGCTCGGAGGTCCTTTCATTTTCTTGCTAAAATGATGTAGCAACATTTTTATTGAATTTTAAATCAATACTATCAACAAAATATGCGACTTATTACATTTTGTGAAAGGTAACAAAACTTATTCCAGCATAGGTTTAACATCAGGTGCATGTAAAGTTGTGGTATGTAGATTGCAGTTATGAAAACAAGCATCAGGCTTTCACGCTTCAGGATAAAGTTAGAAATCAACAGATGTTAAATTGTCATAATGTTGCAGATGGTCTACTATGATGTGAATAAACTTGAGGGGAATGCTATAATTCTGAATGTTACACATACACCCCATTTTGCATGGTTTGAGCGGGCAGCAGACCTTTGAATGTAAAAGAAAAAAACACTCTAAAAATATCAGGGCTATATGGACTTTGATAAAATACAAACCCCTGAGGCTACCCACAAGTACATCTCTCAGAGTTTTATGTGTGAACATCAACTGCCCAACAACTTTAAGGATATCATGAATTAAATTCTCTACGAAGATCTCGCTCCCACGCTTTCTCCTTCATTTCCTGTTTCTGCCTTGCTCTTTTGCTAACAGTTGCTGGTCTCAATTGTATACTTTTATTCTTTCTATGCTTATCCGGTCTACGAATGGCCGCAACATCATATGGCTTGAAATGCGTCACTCTCGCTTTTTTATCTTTGTCCAATCCCAAACCCTGTCTATCTCGTTTCAAAATGGTTTTGACAGGAAATTTTGAACCGGATCCTCCAGGACCCAAACCCTGCTCCTTGTCCCATCCATCTTTTACCATAATTTGAAACCCTTTATTACTTTCTGGCAAGTAATACTGAGTTGGCAGTGACTTGTGATTGCTATTGAATAAATGCACCGTAGAATGTTCATGTTCTTTTTTATCCGATTCAATGTATTCTGTTTTGCAAATTTCACACCAAAACCGTTTGTTCTGTTTCTTTCTTGTTGTTGCCGATTGCGTTGTTCTCTCTGCATCACCAGATAGCATATCTATAATCTTGCGATGATTAGCTTTGACTGCCAAATCGAGGGCGGTCTGTCCTTTTGAGTTTACCAGCTTTTTGTCAGCGCCTAATCTAATTAAATATTCCACAATGTGATTTTGTCCACTATATGTCGCACACATAAGAGCGGTCCATGAAAACCTGTCGCGGGCATCAATGTCGCATCCTCTCTCCAAGCATATTTTCAATTTGTCTAATTCTCCATGCTGTGCCGAACACAGAAATGTGTCGACTAGTCGGCCGTCTGTGTGAAATGCCTGAACAATGGCGGCTCGGTTGGTTCGTCTCCTTGAGCGGCGTTTAAGTTGTCCGTTAGTTTTGTTTGAAGTCCGTTTAGAATCAACATTAGTGGACGAGGATGGTTCTGATATAACGCTTTCGTAGAAATTTCTGGCGTCTTCGCCAGTTAACCCCCTGTTCCTGGTTCCATCTTTGTCGTCGGTGTCGGAGCTACATACCCCTGGTTTCAATGTACCAGATGTAGCGCGACGAAATAACACTGGTTTGATGTTGTAACTCAAAGTATTTCTTGGAGATGTGAAAGCCATTCGTCACTTCAATGCGTTGTGGCGTTCGTGCTGTTAAAAGTTGCAGTTGTACAATCGACAAATTCGGGGAGATATTAATTAAACATCGCACATGCTCCAGAATTACGTTGTCATATTAGATAACCAACCTCACAAAATGCTTCAGAAATCAGATTACTGGTATACTAGAGAACTTTAAACGTTGAACTAACGTTGACCCAATGTTGACGAGAAACAACTAGGGCGCCGCCATCTTAGCCTCTGAACAAGTCTGCACAATCTGGGAAAATAAAATTAAAATAATCTATTTTAAACAGTGAATATGATTGATATTAACACCTGATTTACGTATCAAATTACCTAATGTAACTAGTATGATTGCTCTTAATTGTATGATGTTTTTACAATAATATAGTTTAAATTCAGCTTGGATAATGCCCTTGAACGAGGAGGGTCACAGTTGCCAAGGAAGGACAGGTCTGGGAAACACCATGGCGAATATCAAAGACGATGCAGATGCAATATTTGACTCAGCTCGATTGAATCTCTTGGATGTTATCGAAGATAGAAATAGGGCGTTGAATAAGGTACGGAAAACGTCCGGGGTTTGCAAGACGAATTTGTAAGACTACTAACTAGGACAAACTTGCTAATACTAAACAAACGTTCTTGCATGAAACACCCATGAGAGTCGACCGGTATGGTGCAGTGTGTACTCGTTTACAAAAAAGCAATCCAACCAGCAGATTTGCAATATATCTCACTGTTTTGCAAAGTAGCAATATTGATATCCGCTTACCATAACAAATTGTTGCATTTGAAATTTGCGTGAATTTTGCGTACGATTGAAATAACTCTAATTAACACAAACACAGTGAGAAACAAACACAGAGGGACTGTGACACAAATGTTTACAATTTTTATTTGGAACGTACCAAAGTCACCTTGAGTAATATCCAATAATAATAATAACAACAAAACAAAACAACATTCAGGACAACATAACTTACGGAACTAAAACATATCAAGAAAATAAATTTTGCAAAAATGCTAAGAATGAAAGAATCATTAATTGAAACAATAATATAAAAATAATTCATCCATGCTAAAATCTTCCAACTTTGGAGCATAGATGTACAGGGCTGCAAAGAATCTAGATCTATGACTGTTCTTTGATTTGACAATTGTTACAATATATATATATATATCAATTTGGGTAAGAGTTCCTTAGTGCCCCCTCACACATACCGGTAACTCTAATCCTAACCTTGCCCATCCAGTACCTCCCCTTTCTTTCAATTGCATATACTCCTCTTTGGGTCACTTATAATTACTAGTATTTGGAGTGGAGCATAGTGAATTACATTCGGGCGAGGGGCTGGAGTGTTAGGGTTCAGGTTAGGGTTGAGGGGGCATTAAGAACTGATTCCACAATTTGAGCCAATGTACGGTAACAATATTTTTGTGTGGGAAAAAAGGAATTTACCTAATTTTTGTGTTAAAATCGCGGATGTAAATAATCCCACAATCTCACTCACATCGAAAGTCACCGTGACATGAACCCAAACATGTATAACAGCTATAGAAATGCAAGAGAAACAAATAAATATGTTAAAAGAACATGAATAATTTGTAAAAAAAATATATAGTCTCAAATTATCACCACTCAGTGCTAAAAAATTAATAAAATATCTGAAACAAAGAAGTTGACGATGTTTTTATTTATATTCATTGCTCTTTGATCTTCTTCCATGCATTTGCAGATGCATCAAAGAACTGTCATGCACAAAAATGTTGTTAAATTGACTCAAATTGTTATATTTCGTGTGACTTGTTGGTATTTCAACAAGAGTATCAATCGTACGTGAAAAGTATGTCAATTATATGTGAATCATACGTCAATCGAACTGTACACTGTCTTCAGACTCATAAAACAGTGAGCTATATTGCAATACTACTAGTTGGGCTTTTTTTTTTATTTACTGTAAATTTATGCTTGACACGTTAATTGTTAATTGCTTCTACTGAGGTAGGTGCATGTGTGTATTGGAGGAGGTGGGGGGTGGGGTCAACAGTGATATGAACATACTAGTACATGTATGTGAAAACAAACATGCAAATTATCTTTGGCTATAGTTACTACGTTCACGTTACGGGATCTCGGCACGTGCCGAAATTTTTAATCTGTTGTGTTTGCAGAGGGATTAAAGCAGTTGCGTTCACGTTATTCATGTTAGTCTCGGCACGTGCCGAGATATCTAACGTGAACGCCACTAATGTAATATTTTCATATTTTTTGTGGGTCTTTTGGGAGTGGAAAAACTATGTCACAGTCATATTTACTCAGGGATAACATTTGAGTACATTTTCCTTGAAGAATCATCTTTTTCAACTGAAAATCCATGTTTCTCAGCTGTCTTAATTAGTTCTTCTAGCTGCTATCATTTGTACCCACCCACACTCACTCTGCTATCTTTTTTCTACCCCTGCCCATTGCAAGATAGGTTATGTATGTGCAAATAGAATTACATCACGTTTTGACAGTAATTAGTATTAGTCAGAGTGAGTCAACATAAAGCATGAACCAATATTTGTGACCAGGGCTCCATAACACAATGAAGTATTTTTACCATGGTTTCGTAATTCTACTCGTATCATTACATGTGATTTGTAAATACTGACCCTCAAATTTCATTCACATTCAAACATGTTACTATAACCTCAAAATGCGTACACATGTATTCAATCTAGAACTTGACGGAATCATATCCTTATGAGTATTTGTTTCAGATTCCGTCTTTCAACAAAATCAAAAACAGGAAAAAACAGTATGTATGTGAGTGAGCGACCATACTATGTAAAATTACATCAAGTAATGGAAGGACCAGAAACTTTTACTTGCATTCAGAGGTCAAAGGTTATGAGTGGGTTATATGATGTGTTGTCAAAGTTTTGCAACTGCTATAATAAATGCTGTAACAGAAAGAATTGTTGCTTCATTCATTTGTGATCCCAAAATGCCAGTTATTTGCTAGAGCATTATAAAAATGTTATGTAATCATCTTGTTTATTCTGAAATGTTATTTGAAAGTTACCTGTTTCGT